GTACACAGATCGGGGAGGAAGAACTTAACCTTTGAAGCGGTATTTTAGTGTTTGAGGATGAGGTGCTCCCTCATAACTACATGTACCCCTCGTACAACCCAGCTAGAACTAGTCACTGCATGGTCAACATCCTTCCACAGGACGGACCCATCATGCAGGAGACCTTGACCCACTCGCGTGATCAACATCTTACCATAAGATGGATCCCCATGTAGAGTAGTCGATCTACCACTGAGTAACATCAAATATAACCATGCCGATAGTAAGGTCACTTACCTGGCTAGCTTAAGTCGTTGTCACGAATATATCTTTAATTAAAGTTCGATTTCGTCCTTTGAAATCCTAGTCAACCTATATGAGCCCATGACATCAGTTTCAGGTTTGAACTCTACAACATTATTGGTCTACTTTACATTGGTTCATTGTTAAAAGTCTTTAAATGTTATATATCTATAACTATATTTTTATTAAAAATCTTATTTACCTTTCCCTCTATATTTAGTTTGTGGTTTTTAATTCTCTAATCTTCCTTTTTTTTATATGTTTCCTTTTAATTCTGTTATCATGTATTCTAAATTTCTAGTGGATCTCTGTTTCCAATTCCAAATCTTTCCTTATCTCAGTATTTCCTATTCAGAAGTTTTATTGGTCATTCTGTCTTTAATCTATTCTTTGGCTACTAATAAAAATTTAATCTAATCTGACAAAAATTTAATCTAATCTGACAAAAATTTAATCTAATATTACTAATCTTATGATGATTTACTAGAATCGTATAAATGAATTACATTTAGTTTCTAACTCAAAGCTAGACCATTGTAATAATTCAATGAAAATCTAATTATAATTGGTGGTGATTTCTAAAAAAAAATAGGATAAAAGAAAATGAAGATTTAATATATACCTTATTGATCAGATCTATCTTCACGTAAACCTACGGTGAATCTCAACTTGGTAAAGGCCATTCTCATTTTTTGTATCTGACAATTCTTTCTGGCTTAAGGATGGGTTGAGGAGAAAAAATTGTGGGAATGGATGAGAGGTTAGTGGAGAGAAGTGGGGAAAGTTTTTTTTTTTTTTTTTTTTTATTTATTTATTATTATTATTATTTTAACTATTTTTTATAATAAAAAAATTATTTATTTATTTGTTTATTTATTTTTAGGCTATTACACAATACCTCCTCGAAGTCAAATTTGTAGTCAAGAAAGACAACAGCTCCATATGTCAGAGTCAAATTTGTAGTCAAGACTAACAACAGCTTCATATGTCACTTCTTTAATCAACTCAAGTTATCGTCAAAGCAAGCGCATTGGCAGGAATGTGTGGCCGAATTTGACTTCCAGTTCGAACACAGGCAAGGTAAAGCAAACCAAGCTGCAGACGCTCTAAGTCGAAAGAGCGAGCATGCGGCTCTGTGCATGTTAGCTCATCTACAAGCAAGTAAGTTGAGTGGAACAATACGGGAAAGTATCGAGGAACATCTAGCCAAAGGCCCGGCCGCTCAGGACATCATGCAGTTATCCAGAGAGGGGAAGACTCGCCAGTTTTGGGTCGAAGACAATTTACTCTTCACCAAAGGAAATTGTCTCTACGTCCCCTGTTCGGGGAACTTGAGGAGACTCCTACTAAAATAATGCCACAACACACATGGGCGGGCCACAACGGATGGCAGAGAACCTATACCCTCCAAAAAGGGGTACTATTGGTCGAACCTCCACAACAATGTAATATAGTTCACAAAGACCTATCTTATCTGCCAACAAGACAAGGTTGAACGAAACAAAATTGCGGAACTACTAGAACCTCTACCAGTCCTGTCCCGACATGAACAGGAGTTCATGGTTAGCTCAGGATTAAGATCGAGTTACCTAGGTCATCGAATGAAAAGAAAATCAGTCTCAACAGTAAACGACATTATAAAGAGAGAGTGATTTTCTTCATGGTCCGATCTTATGCAATACTCATTGCATAGGACACCCCCACTCACATGTCTCCACATGTACAATTTAGTGATCACATTGTTTATATCATATACAAAAGTGGGCCACATTCATATTGTTCCCAGAATAAGGTACTCAGCCTTATCCTTATACTATAGATCATTTTGACTATATACTTTAACTTGATCCACTTTTATGTCTCTACATATAGTTCAAGTAATCATACTATAGCCAGAGTGTTCTTAGTTTATTGAATTTAGATTAATAATCGTAAGGTTCACTTTATTCAATAACAATCTTTACTGAATAAACATCAATAATAACTTTATTGAAAATAGAATATGTCTTTGTTTACAAACTATGAGTTTTAGGACATAAAACCCAACAAGTTTCTCACACAAGTTCTGTGGACCAAAATCTTGGAGGGGGCATGTAGAAATCAGTCGGGAATGTGTTGACGACTTGAAGACAACTCAGATTATAGAGTTTGAAGAAATAAGATGGTTGACAGGGACTTCAACTAATTAAGTTGGGGGGAGGATGTCACAGTCATGCTTGGAAACGTAAGAAGCCTTGAGTGTAGTATTCGAACTTTGTTGCTTGGAATGTCGATTTTTCGTCAAGATGAGGGTGATAAGGAGGGAGATGGCGGTTTCTCACACAAGTTCGGTGGACCAAAATCTTGGAGGTTGCACGAAGAAATCAGTCAAGAATTTGCTGACGACTTGAAGATAGTCGGACCTCAGATTTGTAGAGTTCGAAGAAAGGGACTTCAACTAATTAAGTTGGGGGGAGGATGTCATAGGAGGATGTCACAGTCATGCTTGTATCTTAATAAGTTATGTATGAACTTTTTATTTTGAAATAATATAAATATGTCGTCTAATATGTTTTAAATTCTGTTTGTTTTATTTCGTGAATATTTTGCTTGTCTGTTTAGAGTTATCAAGTCTCAATCCTTATACACGTGACCAAAGGTCTTATTCTAAGTTCTAGGTGGAAGGCTCTTGTTGTTCACAGACTTGGGAGCATACGTAGCGATAACCAATGTCCGATGTTGAGGTGCTACCTCAAAGAACTCTCTCTTAGGTGGGCTCGTCCCACAGGTCACGTAGTCACCTAAGGTTGTGCTGTACGTGCTTGCTTCACTGACTACCCAAAAGATCAATGCCCACCCATAGGATGGATCCATTGTGCAGGGTAATCAAATCAAACTTTCTTCTTGTGATTATCTCGATACTCTCTAGGAAGAACTAAGAGAAGAGTTCTTGCATTAAGCTCTCCCAAGTGTCCACAATACATCAACCATCTTGAATGTTGATGTACTTGGATCTCCACCAAAACTTTGCATCATCGACTAGATGAATTTTTGTCAATGTAATTTTCACTTCTTATGCTACGACATTTTTGGCTTGAAAGTTCTATTTGAGGTCAAAGATAAAGTTCTCTAGAGCCTTGGCATCTCGAACCCCATAAAAAGGCTTGGGCTATGGAACCTTTATCTAGTTGAATTGGACTACAACTTAAACTGGGGTTTGATTCTCCACTTCTCTCATGGTGAGGACTTGTCTAGTGCACAAATCCACCACTTCATCTCTAACCACTTCAAAAGCTACTCTCAAAATTTTAGATATTTTTAGACAATTTGATCGATCGCTTGTTTAGTATTGTCTAAGCCCTTGATATGTTCTTCCATCCAAGCAATAGAGCCCATCGAGCTATGCCCACTTGAGCCACTAGCACTTGTGGCATTGACTTTTGGGGCCTTGACCCTAACCATTAATACATGGACATTAGTTTCTCAAGGCAACCTACCAGCTTTAGTGAAAATAAAATTTATGCGAGCTTTTAAAAGCCCCAATTCATCCGGAATTTCAGTTAGGTAGAGTAACTAATTTTTTATCTCTACCAATTGATTAGTCTGGGACTTGCCCAGTTCTTTTGCAGCAGACATATTTGTGTTCTACAATTTAAGGAGCCAACTTCTCTTTGATACTACTTATCACAATCGCACTATTGTGGCAGCGGGATAGCGATTATGCGACACTTATTGAAACCCAGTGAACAAGTCATTCATGTGAAAATCACAAGTCAAATACAATTCAGACGTTTGATTGAACCTTGGCCATGTTTGAAATAAAGTGTTTTAGAAATCGTGAGGAAGGAAATGCATTGATCTTTTTTTTTTATCTTTTTTTTTTTTAAAAAAAAAGTAGTATAGGCTAAAAGAAAATAAGCAACAACCACAACTTGGATAGCATATAACTTGAATAGTAAGAATTGATGACTAGTCACATACCTTATAGTACATTTTGAGGCATTTTAGCCCTGACGGGTGTAGACATGATTTTGTTGACAGGTCATAAACCCCAGTACTAACACAACAATAATAGTAAATGTCTATCTAACTTGAAAGTAAGTAAAGGGGTTTGGAATGGGCATGCAGTTGTGAACAGACACGTCATGAACAAGCATGATTGGGACATCTGACACACGACCGTAGGCAATACGCCTTGGACAAGCATGACCGTGAGTGCCTGCAGCTTGACTTAAGCTCACCTCGGCTTGACAAGGTATGTAAGTTGTAAGGTTAGTAGGCATGATCTCACTCCTTAGGTAAATTATATGCATATGTCAATTACTGTCTTTTAAACTAATTAGGATACAATTGGTTACAATACCTAATAACTTGGAGTCTATTGCATGATGATAGATTATGGATCCTAAAACCTGAAGTGGTACTATACGAAATAGTAGAGTAGGTAGAGCCTTGACTGAGACCGACTCTGCTCAACTTCCTTATAAGGAAAGGCATGCTAAGAAAAAGTGTTGGAATAAGTACATACCATGATGCTACAATTTATGATCTAGGCATCTCAAATAAACTAGGGTAACATAAACAATGGAGAAAATGTCAGAATATCTAGGTGGTCGAGAGTGTTAAGATTTATGCCCTAAAGCCTCGTAATTAATTGTTTAATTTTAATAATAACTTTGATTATTTTATTTAAAGTTTAATATTATCCCACATGTGATTGACATCCAAGAGGATCATGTTTAAGAATATCCTAAAGGGTCTATAGTATATGGATAAAAGTTTGCCGATGCTAAACAACTAGAAGGTTCAACCACACCAAAGGTAGTTCCTTCAGCATTTTTACATGAAGCTTTAGTGATGTGATTCTCGTAAGTTAGCTTTATGTCTATCAAGCTTAATCCAGTGCAATGATTTGTTGGACTACAATCAAAATTGATTGCTATTTCAGTGGCTGAAGTTCCCTTGATGTCTTCGTATGTTACTTCGCTAACTTTAACTCCAGAATCCTATTAAAATAAAGAAGAACAATGAAACTATATTCTAAAACCAAATATAAATTAGGAATTAAATAATAAGATATAAATCAAGCATAGTCTTAGATTTTCTAGATAGTATATTATAAGTTAGAGCAATTATCATAAAAGCTTCCTACCACTTTAAGACATCAAAGTAATAGCATCCCTAAATTATTACCTATAAAAGTAATTTAATGTACAAAAAAATAATACTAATAATTTAGCACCCATCTTAAACACAAACAAATTTCAAACCATTAAAGATAAAATAAATCAATTATTTATAAAATTTAAAATTTAAATTGTATTCATGAAATTTAAGTTTAAATATAATTAGAAAAAAATTAACAATGTATGAGATTAATGAGGAAATATACTTGACCACGACAGTAATTTTGATCAATTATGATTGGGTTTTTCACATTATTCATAATAATGTGTTGAAAATGAACGTTTGTAGCGAATCCATTGCTTGGTCTTCCCCAAGACTTAATCCTTACTCCATTCCGAGTCCTTGTGAATGTCATCCCTAAGCTCCCAATGCTACAAACACATTCAACAAAATATCAAATGTTTTCTAACCTTTAATTTCCTCACTCTAACCTAATATATGATATAACTATTTTTATCCAAAATAATTTTAAAATAATTTAAATCATTTTTCTCAGATTCAAAATAACTTTAGAATATATTTTAACCATTCAAATTTAATTTAACGTTTAGATTATCTTCTCAAGATTAATGTGACAAATTTATTTAAACCCTTTAAAAAACATTTCTAAACATGTTCATCCTAATCTATCTCTAGTTACCTGATTCCATGTCTAGGTCCACATGTAATACTTTCAATCCACATGTTGGATGTCCATGGACCGATGGAGATGCAGTCGTCACCGTTTTCAATGTTTGAGTTGAGGATGGTCACATCTGATGATTGTCGCACATGGATGCCATCAGTGTTTGGACTATCGCCTGCAGCTAAGACATTTACTCTTGTCATATGCACGTTTTGGCACCGATTCATTACAATGCTGAACAATTGGCTGTTAATTGAAGATAATCCATTGATGTTCACATTCTTTCCATCATTTATTTGAAGACTCTATCAATTCAAAACAATCAAAAGAGATAATTAGTAAAAATTTAAAATAATTTGTAATTAATCCCTAAACCCTAATTAATCCAGTTATTTTCATTCAACTTTCCGTTAAAGAAAAATTTTCAAATTTTTTTTATATGGAGCCAACTCAAATTCTGCATACCCGGGCTACACGTTAAAGAAAAATTTTCAAATTTTTTTTATATGGAGCCAACTCAAATTCTGCATACCCGGGCTACAATGGAAAGAAAAATTTTCAAATTTTTTTTATATGGAGCCAACTCAAATTCTGCATACCCGGGCTACAATGGAGCAACTCTTCCTTGAGTGTTTACAATTTCATAGGGGAGTTCCTTGCCCATCAATAATACCGCCAGTGATGGAAAGCCCATTTATGTGATTAAACAAAATCCAAGAACTAGAATTAGCTAAAACTTGAATGTCCGAGGAAGCCACAAGAGTTCCATCAATGAGAACAGTAATAGCATTGTTCTTACAAGGCCCATTAAATCTCACACTTCGAACGAAGAATATACCCTCGGGAATGTAAATAGTGGCTGGTTCAGATGAGTCACAGGCCTTAGCCCATGCCGTTTGAAGCACAGGCGAGGCATCGGACTTTTCATCAGGCTTAGCTCCGAGAGTAACAATATTGAATGTTAATTCAGCAGCTGAGGCATGGTTAAAAAAAAAGTTGAAGGGAAAGAAAAACATGTAAGATTACAAGAAAGAGACAAAGAAAACTTAATGATAAAGTGTTCATGATAAGCATGAGAGAGAAAAAGGAATCAAGTGATAGGAAAATAGGAGAAGTGTGGAGTGATATTTATAGGTTAATACTTACCCTTCGTGACTCTAATTTTAACTTATCAAGTAAAACTTTATTCTTGTTCTATTTAACCATTATTGTTTTTATATGGTTTAACCATTTTTAATTAGGTATATCATGTAGGTAAATTTAATCAAATCCAATGATCATTTAACTCTGTCTTTCTAACATTTTTAAATTTAAGTCTATCTTATAAGATAAGACACTAATTGTCATTTTAATGATCGACGGTTCCATCTCATTTTTAAAATTATCAAATTAAAAAAAATTTTCTTTATCAATATGATTTTATTTTTGTTTTAACTTAAAAGAGGGATGGGAAGATTTTAACTGAAAAAACCCTAATTTTTCCACCTCGTTATTTTTTAAAAATGGATGTTTAATCTTAATTGTTTGGGTCAACTAAAGAACTATGCAATGTAACAATATGTGTTTTATTGGCCTCTCAACCTCCTACTATAATAATAACAATTTACTAATAGTGTTAGGTGTTTATATTTTTTGATACCAATTCTATATCGATTCTCTATTAATAAAAATAATAAAACATTCTATAAGATAGAATCAACAAAACACCATTATATATTTTTCAGTCTTTTTATCATGTCGTTGTTAGTGATGTAATAGAAAGTTGGTGACTTCTTATTTGCAAAGGTGTCACAATTAATGAGAGGCCAAATTGTTTGTCATATTTGTAACTATCCAATAAATTTATAAATGCTCACACAGAAATAATTTACAAATATTATATTTTCGAAGTCTTAAAGTCTATCAATGATAAGTACATCGATAATATGCCGTTTTTATATCTATCAACAATTTTTTTTTAATCATTTATAGACTTTTTTTTTTTTTTTTTTTTTTTTTTTTATTGTCGCTTAGGGATAGATCTATATCACTATAATAGACATCTCTTTTCTCCTTTGATTAAATTGAACCCCATTATATGTTAGGTTCTTTCCTTTTATCACTTTTATTTTTGTAAAAATCATTGAACCACAATAGAAGTAGTTCAAAGTTTGTAAACTAAACTTTATGGCTTAAAATTAATGAACTAAAATCTAATTGGTGTAGAGACAACAAATCTAGGAGGGATGGAGGGAGAGAGAGATCAATGAAAAGGTAAAATAAGTGAGGGATGAGAGAGAGATATCTTATGAATAGGC